TGATATGAGAAAACAGCAATACAACAGAATCATTTTCTACCCGCATGATGCAAAAACGTGACCGGATTTTATTTCAAATTTTAACATTTAAGTTCGCAGAAGTTTTATATGTTCACTGTTTTAAATATTTCTATAAAATTTCTGGTGATGAAGTATTACGAGAAAATTATAAGATTATCGTAGGAGCCCATGAAAGAAATATAGCAAAATTGTTGGCCCAAATTGTAAGTGGACAATTATTTCATGAAAACGAGAATATTGGTTATATCAGGAAAGAATATTCTGCTTCAATTTTTGATTTGCGAAAGATAGGGTTAAAAATCAGTTTTCATTCTTTTCATCAAGTTATTTTATCGCTAAGAGGATGAACTTTGGCATCTTTGGCGCTGGAACACCCAGAGATTAAAATTTTGAACACCAAAATCTGGCAAAGAATTTTCCAGTTATTGCAATAAAACCGATTAAAATCAGACAATTACTATTTACCACTTCTACTCGCACGATACTAACCAAGACCAGCATCCCAACGCTTGCGCAGCCGCCCTACAGCCCAGATGTGGTCCCCCGGACTTTTTTTTGTTTCTTCGCCTGAAAAGACCGATGAAAGGCAAGCATTTTGAGACGACAGAGGGAATCCAAGCAGCATGCACCGCGGCTCTCAAGGCTATTCCGGAGAATGCCTTCCGTGACGCCTTCAATGCTTGGAAATCGCGCTGGCAGCGCTACATCGACGCAGAAGGAGCCTATTTTGAAAGTTTTTAAAGAATTGTAACGATTGGCTCAATATTTTTTTTAAATCGGCTCAGTCCTATTACTTTCCGGACAAACCCTGTATATATATATACATATAGGTAAATAGAAGCCATTTCGACATTCGTTTTTTCTGCGTGATCGTTTTGATTCAGATTTGTTTGGTGTTTTTTTTTACTTCAAATATAATCTATACTCTTTTTGCCAGCATTTTCTAAAGCACGTGTAATAGGCTAGTAGGTCTAAGATGTTTAAGTTCAGTAGGATTTGAGGTTTTATGAAGAGGTATAGTTAAGGCCAGCTTCCACTATTAAGGGTGGTAGCTTTTTTACTAAACAAAGATTTATTATGTGAGTGATATTAAAGAAGGTTATATGATGACGTACTTTGATCGTACTTAGTTAGTAATAGACATTTTAGGGTCATATTTGAGAGATCTACAAATTACTTTTGTTGCCCTATAACTTTTCTTAGAACCTTTTTTCGAAAGTTACGTGGTTGCCCATGGATATTCTGAAAGTATATTCAAATTCGACGAAGACTTCGCGGCTAATCCAGGCTTATAACCTTCCTCGGGTGGTAGTTGAAGCCTTTGGTGCAAAAAGGTGTTAACTCATATTTTATAATTTGGAGATAAAAAGTTTGAATCCTGACATTTTTTATTGAATAGTGTTAGCGCTGCTTTTATCATTGAAGGTTATTTTAGACACCTATAAAAGTATCTCGAATAAAGAGTTTGCTTGAAAAAATTGTTTTTATTATCTGAAATTTGATGTTATAATATGTGCTTTGCAATTTTAAAAAACTCATTTTTACATTTTAAACGAAAACTGAATTCATGTTGTTATATAATCTTACAAGCTAATAAAATACTAAAACTTCACATACCTTATCGATTTAAAAAAGCAGTCCAACTGTTGTGTAAAACAGAAAATCAAAACATCTTACGAAAGGTGTTCAAACATGAAAAAATTGAAATTGGAGTGCAAAAAGGTGTTAGCAACAAGGAGCTAACACCTTTTTACCCATAATGCAAGAGTCAACCCTTTTAAGTTTTCAGATTAAAGTTTTTGATATAGTTAACACTTTTATGAATCTCTGTATCTAAGAACTGAGAGCCATCTTTGGCCGAATAGATGTACTACCAAAAAAGCACCCTTTTAACACCTTTTTGCTCTACAAATCTGAAAATGAAGTAACACCTTTTTGCACCAAACTCTTCAGTTGATAAGTGTACAATATTTTATCTCCCTTCATAATGTGGTTCAGACGTGATGCTGACAGACTGAAGAGGCATTCACATTTATATATTGCATTAAAATGTTGAATAAAAATATTTATTGCAACGCAATTATTGCATTACATTGAATATTGCGTTTTCTCCGAAACTAATCTTCTTCAAACAAACGTATGACCTATACTTCACACTACTTCCGCGCGAAAGCAACCACGGGCTTAGGCTAGTTATTCTTATTAAATGGAGCCTACTTGAAAAACAAAATAGCAGGGGGATAATTTTAATATTTAAAGTATCCTCAACGGTTAATTATAAATATTAAAACAAACAGTATGCTCAGGCGTTCAACAGATAAATTGTAATACAAAGATGCATACAGTACGAGATTACTTTTGAAAAATAGACAAACTACAATTACACTTTGTAATCAAACGCAACATTCCTTGGGATCAACAGTGGATGACAGCAGATTGAAGGACATTTCTTCCTTGATATTAACTAATAATTCTGCAGACAAAGCCTTAAGCAAGCATGCATCCCGTCCGCATCTTTTTATCAAAATTTATATCTTGAATGCCTGAGCTTACCGTACGTTTTAATGTTTATAATGAACCAATGTCGATATTTTGAATATCTAAAATCATATCTCCGCCTACTACTACCACTTGATTAGATTGTAAATCTTTATCATTTTACAAATATAAGTGATGAAGGTAAATAGTAAATCATCTGATTTTTAGCAATAAGTTTGAACGATTTTGGTGTTCCAAAATTTAATCAGTGAGTGTTTTAACGATCAAAAAACTTTTTGTCGCAAATAAAAAATTGAAACGGAAGGTTTTCTACCAAATACTTTGTCTATTTAAATTGCCCCCGGAGCTTCACTCGGTTTTCGCTAGATTGCCTGAATTATTAGGTCTGGAATTATCATCTCTTAGACTTTGTAATGTGAATTTGATTTAAAGGTCATTAAAACATGCAAATAATCAACGTTGATTGCATAAAAAATTCAATCATTTCTCTAAATCGTAACCAAACGACGAGTAAGACTAATCGCCATCTTGGAAATGCATTTTGTACTGGGTAGGTCTTGGTAATAGTTCAGTCAGAAACATAAGAATCAACGTTCTAAATAGCTTAGTTTTGTGATTATTTGCACTTCTGGTTTTTATTTCTTCCGAATATGGTGTCATATACATGCGACGTTATAGAAAATGAACTAAATCCGTTAAATATAGATACTTTTTGGTGAACTCTGGACTGGAAGTAAGAGATAATTCGATTGTTTTCAAATATTTTCGTGACTTTTCATCTATAGCAGATTCGAAATATCTAATTCTAACTCATCGGACTCTTTCCCAACTTTTCTATTGATTCTATCCATTAATTTGGATTATTTCTTAACTCCTCCTACTGTTGCATTATTTCTGCTGTATCATTTCTTTCTAATAGCCTGTTGTCAAATAAACAATCCTTTAATTTCTCTACAATAACAATTATTTTTCATTTGGTACAAACAGCATAATATTTTCAGTCGCATATATAAAACATTATGCGTATTTAATTACCTAATGTTCTTGTTGTTTCAGTGATTTTAAGAACATACTTATTATCGACGTTTAGGCGTGTAGAATTTGGATCAAAGTCAAACACAAGCTTAATATATAAATTAGATTTATTAACGATTTTTGCATTTTACAAAAATACAATACTTAATTAACAAACATAAGCAGTCTATAGTATTTATTATACATAATAAAAAATCACAGTCTGGTTTGGAAATGATTCACATTTCCGACGGTAATCTCGTTATACCGTATACTTGGCTTTAAAATTAATAAATTATGCAGACTCCATAATACTATTTATAATCATTATATACATTATGTTACAGCTAATGTCACAACTAGCTTAGCAGATAAATATTTTTTGAAATATATGGACATCGCGTTAAATATTGTTCCCAAAATATAGGCTAATATATCATTTTTAAAATCAACGACCGTAACTACAATTATCTATTTCTTTTTTCAAATTTATGGTGATTACAGATTATAACGATTTAGTTGACTTTCATTTTATTGATTCCCAATTACTTTGAAAATGCTCTGACTATTGTGCTTATCAAAGTTGCGTTAATTTATGAATATTTTATTGTTAAATGCCTTTATGGTATAGAAACAAGTAAATCAATGAAGTGGCACTGTGACTGTTCTGCAAAACATTAAACATGTACATTAGCTGTGACATTTCAGTAGATTCACACATATTTTTCCAAATAATAATTTTTGTACACATAACACTTGTACAATGATTTAGAAGAATAGTAAGCAACTTCTTAATGCAATGAAAAATGACCCCAAACTTCAGATTGACATTGTTCGGATTGAGTAATTCTGAAATATACTCGCGGAACCTTAGATTTCAATTGTGTAAGCTATTCTTATGATTATTGTACGTTTTCATAATACTGAATGAACAGTGCAATATTTGATAGTTCTTACTGTATCTATCATGTAGATAGATATTTATGAGCCTGTAACGTTGAAAATCAAATATTTTATATTCCATAAGTTTACTTTATGCAAACCACATTTCATTATATTTTCAATCAAGAATCGCCATACAAAACTGTTTAGTTACATTTTGCACATCCATACATACGTAGGTACAATTAAAACACGATAAAAATATCAATTTAAAATTGTAGCACAATGGCGTTCATCAGCATAATATCTAAACATCTTCTATGCCTTTCATCATATTATGGGATATCAATGAAATCTGCATGAGTTCACATTAATCTGAAGTAATCAGTAAGCCTTCAGGCTTAGAAATCTTTTCAAATAACTCCAAACATGAAGATTCTACAAATATAGTGCAAAAGTATCCTGAATGAACCCAATTTGTGCATCATTTCATTAAAGTTAACTGAAACAATGTCTACCGAAGAACAGTACTTACAATCAGTTTGGAGTCGCTATGCGTAACACATTCATACAAAGCTGAAACACTACAACTTTTCAAAACACCTCGAATTCGTCAACATTTCCCTAGTGAGACGCCAAACCTGTTTGGACGCGTTCTCCAAAGCACTCGGTGATTTCCCTTTGAACAGGTCTAGATTAGGCAAAAAGTAATGTGGACACCGTTTACACTGCAAACACGAGATCAATTGAAGGAAGATACCGTTGATTCTATCAGCTATACAAGATTCATCCCACTCTGATTCTCTAGGATGTTTCTCGCATTCGTATAAGAGTAGCGTCTTCATATGATACCCAGTTACAGGGTTTCCCGGGAGGTCCAAGTGGCGATCCCTCAATGTTTTTAGTATACTTAAACATCTCTTCCGACAACCGCCTTGTAACAATCGGTTCTCAGCTTCTATGAAGGAGAGAACCCATGCATCACCTTCCATAGCTGATTGCTTCCCTTGTAGCGCGATACATTCCTTCGATAACAAATCAAAACCTTCTGTTTTCACCTCCACAACTAGGTTAGGATGTGGCCAAGGGATTTGCGCCAGAGGCCAATGCGCGGCACTTCTTGGCCACAATCCGGCGCACTTGAACGCTGGCGTGATTTGCACTATGTACCGCTCTCGAATTCTCAACTTTACTTCCGTCGTGTCTGCGATCATTTTCACGCTGTCCCTGTACGAACACTTGTCACACGCCTGTGCCACTAAAGTTTGGAACCTGGAGCGCATTTTGCGTGCGGATAGATACCCTGAAGCCGTGATAAATTCCACCCAAAGGGACATCGAGCGTTTTCTTCCGTCGCTAAGCTTCAACACTGCACAACCGGGAAGCGTTCCGTCGTCTACGAAGTTTAGAACTCCCATTTGGTTCAGGTAGATCACTACTTCAAACTCTACCGGCGAAATAACCTCCAAGCCGTCATAGCGTCCGTTATAGTCGGTTAGGGAAGATATGAATCGGGGCTCCTGCACCTCTACTTCTTTCAAGACGTCCTGGACTACTCGACACACTTCCTGGATGGTTTTGGAGACCTGAAGCTTCCTGGTCTGGACCTTCTCGGTGTAGTATTTGTTCAGTTGGTAAACCATTTTAGATTGGGCGGCCAACATGTCAGGTGGAACGAGCATTGTGGCCGTTTGGAGGCTACTAGAGCCTAAAGCGACGGGTGGTTTTTCCGTAGGGGCCACCGTGAAGTGGGGGAAACTTTTCGACGGAACGAAACACAATCTAACTTCCCCCTACGTTATCTTATCAACAATGTCGCGGCGACCGGTCGATGGACCCGTGATAGATCGAGCAGGACGTTCGTAACGACACTGTAGCAGTCGGGAAACAGGTAAGCGATCAGCGAACCCATGAAAAGGCGTCGCGAGAACAGGCAACGCCTACAGCCAATAGCGAATCGCTTCGAGAACCGTTGTCCGGGGCAACTGGAATATTTACGAGGCTGAAGGTATGGGAGTGGGGGTGGAGGCTGTTGCTGAGGAGACGGGAGTTGGGTGTATATGTGAAGTTATCTGCTTGTATTTTAGGGGGAATGCGCAGATGCAAGGACAGGCGCTCATGGTGCTGATTTGCGTTGAGAGTCTGAACAAACAAGAAAGATGGAGTTATAAAATCATTATAGAATGATAGTGGTGTATAAAGCATTAGTACTATATATTCACAAATATAGAAAAATATATGGATACGCGTCAAACAGATTAACTCTGAATTTCCCGCGCAACCCGTGTTTTACATTGGCGAGTGAGCCGACAAGCTATTCCGTCTTTACAATATGGGCACAAGAGGCACGTGTACAGGGCCCCATTCATGAGAGGGGGAAGTCAGATGTCCAAAACCAAACAAAATATCAAAAAATACACGAGCACTTCCCTCGCCAGTGTTTCTCAACGTCAAAGAAGGAACCCAGATTTCGCTCTGCCCTGGGAAGTTCAAGTGCAGTCCTATCGATGAGGCAAACCTTTGATCTTGATATGCTTCCGACTGTTACTAATATTTCCAAATTTCACGAAATGTCCTCCTCATTTCAAAAGGATGGATCGATCGTAACTAAGGCCGAAGCACTCGCCAGATTTTTGAGCCGAATGGATGATCGCCGCAACACCTAATCGCTATCGATAGCAAGAGTTCCCCATACATCAATGGCGGACCCCCGGGGATCGAAGCAAAAACTTAACTGGATGCCTCCGAATGAGCCTCATAAACGGCTAAAGGGTTTTGATGATTCTCAAACCTCACTTTCCGGTGCCCCTGCAACTGCGTTGTAGGACTCTCGCCTTCCGGGGCTCGACGCACAGTGCATCGTGTGTGTCATCTTAAACCGGTCCCACAAGATGTGGCGAATGCCTTACAACGTTGGGCATATGGTCATTCGCCACATCACGGGCTCTTGTTGGTAAATTTGACACGCGTCAAAGGACGTTACAACGTTTAAAGGCATGGTTTGTTACGAGATGTAATGTGTTTGATGGTTTTAGGTTAGAACCAGTAGCGGCGAAAAACATTATTTAGTTTTTGCTATGATTGTGGTGAAGTATTTTGATTTTAATACCTCCCTTTTCATAATAATGTATGTTCCGTGTCTAACTTTTGAGAAGAATGAATTAAATTGGTATACATACAAAGCATAGGCTGCCATAACAACACTTTTTTCATATTGCTAATATTTTGTACGTTTCGCAGTTGAGTTATGGCTGGCCTAAGGGTATGTATTTTAGTAAATTATAAATTGTCCAGTGCTTAAAGTTGTTCATTATAATGTCCTGTTTCAATGCAGGACTAGTTGAGAAATATATTGACTTGCATTTCATAACTAACGAAAAAGATTAAATAAATGATAACTCTGAAAGTACTATCAAGATTTTCATGAAATTTTCGGTACAAGCGACGGAGTTATCATCGAAAAACAAACAAAAAACGGTCAGACTTCATTTTTTGAAATTCCTGAGGCTTCTGACAGACTCAAGTTTTGGTCGCTGAAGACAGATCTGAAATTATTTTTCGGAGCTCGAAAAAATTTTATCATCGTTTATTTTGTATAATCTTTCCTTCAGTTGTAAAGGTTCAAGTGCGACACTGACACCGATAATAGACGTTGGCACCACCAGGCATCGAACGTCCAAGACTAAAAAGTTCATCCCATCGTGTAGGAGTCACACTTGCCAATTGTAGGGAGTCGAACGTTGTAAACAACGTTGTATATAACGTTGGAAGCATCCTGTGGGACCCGCATTAGATTCGCCCCTGTTTCCCATATTATGAGAGAAGTAACCAGATCCAATTCTTTTCCCAACATTATCTCTGCCACGGTATTGAGGCATTGTACACTGCAGCTTGTTCCAGTTCTTCGAACTTTCTTTATCACATGTCTTAATCTCCGGTATTTTGGAAAAGAGCTGGAAGTTTGATCATATCCAACCCCAAATATTAGACCAAAAACAGTATTCAGATCTCATTTATCCTCCGTCAAAACAAATATCAGCTCACGATGTTCAAATGCGCGCACTCCCATTGGCCAGTAACACATAAAAGACCGAGCAGGCAGCGACAAGCAAATAGGAGCGACAATCGAAAATTCTCATCCTATGTGTTCTTTATCTTTAAAAGATCCTTACAAAGAAATTATGTTCTCTCCCACCTCTATGGACAGTAGCCTAATCTTCTTAGACGCCCAGGCCAGCCATTTGTTCAAAAAAAGTTGAACATATTGCTGAATCTTGATAGGAAAATTATCTTGCTAAGCCCGAATCGTATCGTACAGATGTGCTGCCCCTACTACAATTTCTCAATCGTCTGCAAAAATCGAAATTGGTCACTTCCATCAAAAATGATTCATGCAACCCAAAAACACAAGATCGGTGGGTACAGTCGTTGAAATTGATTAGATTAAAGGACAAAATCGATAGGCGGAAAAAATCAGGGCTGACATAAGTTCAGCGGAGGATCAAGGGCCTTTGGGCCACGAAGCGCTATTTATGAAACGTATATTTTCGTATAGCGTGTGTATGCACAGGTTTTCTATAAATATAAAAACAAATTAAAATTTAACTAAGCCAAGTAGCTTGAAAAACAAGTCAAGTTGTGAATACCTAATCAACGCGGATGTTCCACAGAAATGTTAGACTGAGCGTTGCCGATGCTGAATTGAAGTAAAAAATACTTACGATGACCTCTGACGAAACATCTGGTTATCACCACTATCTAGGAGCAGGGATATTGAGGCTTTATAAACTACTCTACATCACAATAATTGTAGTTGCCATAATCTTAGCAACCGCTCCGTCGATTTTGAAATTTAGGGAGTCATGGATTGCGTGTCAGAAGTAGGAAGCTCCTATATACCTTCTGTTATATAAAAACTATTACCTGATGATGTCAGATCTCCAGAATTTAAGTGAGACCTCAGCCTACCTGGTTCAATGCTTGAATGTAGTTTTGACTTTACTGTGAACTGTGGCGCCATTTTAACAGTGAGAAGATACAAACGTAAGAATTGTGGTAAAATATTACATTTTGCTTCATAGTTGGACAATGGTGACCATTTTTTTTTAAGACAACACCAGTTATTGTAATTTTTTAAGTTTAAGTTTTATTTATTCGTGACGCTTATATAAAGAATCAAACTCTGGGTGGATGTGTAGATTTTTAATTAGAGGCTAATGTAGCTTTATAAATACATAAATATTTTTAATAAATACTAAAACAGTCTTTAAGATATCGCAATTATTAATTGCATGTCTTGTCCACTTATAACTAAACTCATATACATCATAATACATCAGAAGGATAACAAAACAATGTGCCTTCTTTATAAACATACAGTGAAAAAAACTGTGCTTACAAATTGAACTCAGACCAAGAATGGCAGAATAATCATCCTCCTTCAGTTCACCTGGATAATCCACAAACAGTCACAGACATGTAAACATACCTTAAAGATATGAAAACAACCTCAAATTCTGAAATGAAATTTCATCATCCTCAAAATGCAAGTACGGTCCATCTCTAAAGCTTGGAGCTAAGCAGTTGCTATTCGTATATAACATCTATTTGTATAATAAATAATAATTGTCCATTGGTGAATGGAAAACATGTTGAAATATGATTAAGGCAAAAATTAACGTAGGTAATAGAAAAAGATTTCACTTGTACTGTGTACAATTTTTTAAATGGAGCGTACTGTAACAAAAACAGAATACAATTTTTTCTAATATCTATCTATATCCAGACATAATTATTGAGATTCCTATTTTTGTGTACCTGTATTATTTTATTTAGGTATATCTCAAATAAATAATATAAAATATCAGATTTTTCTATTGATTTTAAACCAAAATAGTACATTGCTTTTCTTTGGTAACTTTCACAATAAGGAACATACCTAGGTACAACATTGCTAAATATATCTTCTAGATATAGCCGTCAAAAAAAACTATACGTTCGAAGTATTTTTTGTAATATGTTCACGTACGGTATGGTAAGGGTAACAAATATTTACAACAGCAAAGTATTATACACCTAAACTAAGCATTAGAATAATTGGAAGTACCTAATTGTGCGTTTACTGTTTTCTGCATGAAAATTTCTAATTCCGCCGGCACCTCTGTGGTGGTGACCACTTTCACCACTAAGAAACTATAACATCTAATTCATTAATTTTTGAAAAACAGTAACAGAATGTTGGGTAGGTATGTAGTTTAAACTGGAACGGTATTAACTATATTTATATTGCAAGAGGAACAGTCGTATCTGGCACCAGAAGTCCATTATCTAGCACACATTACAGTTTTTCAAGACATCGAGTATTCGTTAACATTTCCCTTGTAAGCCTCCACACTTGTTTTGCAGCATTTTCCAGAGCGCTCGGCGATTTGCCTTTGAATAAGTCCAAATTGGGAAGAAAATAGTGAGGACACCTCCTACATTGCAAACAAGAAATCAACTGCAAAAAAATCCCATTAATTCTATCCGCGATACAAGATTCGTCCCACTCTGATTCTCGCGGGTGTTTCTCACATTCATATAGCAACAACGTCTTTAAGTGATAACTACTGACTGGGTTCCCAGGAAGATCCAAATGCCTGTCTCTTAGAGTCTTCAGGATACTTAGACACCTCCTGCGACAACCACCTTGAAGAAGTCGATTTTCAGCTTCGAGAAATGAAAGAACCCAGGCGTCTCCTTCCATGGAAGACTGTTTACCTTGCGCAGCAACACTTTCCTTGCTCAACAGATCAAAACCTTCAGTCTTCACTTCAGCGACGAGGTTTGGGTGTGGCCATGGAATGTGTGGAAGGGGCCAATGCGCTCCAGACCTGGGCCAAACCCCAGAACATTTAAAAGCAGGCGTTATTTGCACTATATACCTCTCTCTGATGCGCAGTTTCACTTCAGTTGTATCGGAGATCATCTTAACACTATCACGGTACGAACACTTATCACAAGCTTGAGCTACGAGAGTTTGAAACCTGGAACGAATCTTTCTAGCTGAAAGGTACCCAGAAGCTGTGATGAACTCCACCCAAAGAGACATTGAGCGCTTCCTTCCGTCGCTGAGTTTCAGAACCGCACAACCTGGTAGAGTACCATCATCGACAAAGTTGAACACGCCCATTTGGTTGAGGTAGAGCACGACCTCGAACTCTACGGGTGAAATGACCTCAAGACCCTCGTACCGCCCGTTGCATTCGGTGAGGGAGGATATGAACCTGGGCTCCTGGACCTCGACCTCTTTCAGCACGTCCTGGACCACTTTGCACACTTCGCGGATGGTTTTGGCGATGGTGGCCATTCGTGTTTGCACCCGTTCCCCGTAATATTTGTTGATCTGATAGAGCATTTTGGACTGCGCGGCCAGCATATCTGCCGGCACCAGCATGGTGGAAGCCTCGCCGTCGGCTTCACAACCGCGATTCTACTATAAGCGTGACTCCCCGGCAGGTCTGACGGAAGGAGGGAGATGTTGGCTGTAAATGGGCGGGGCATGTGCAAGGCGACGGGCCAATAGCAGAGCGCGAATCGCCTGAAGATTTTATCGATCTCTGGCCCAACGCCCCTTGGGGAAATTAGGCTTTGTTCCTTTGCAGTGTTTGTTGTGGTTGCTGGATTCTCGTTTTCTCGCTTTGGAGGATGGAGGGAAACCAAAATTTTATACGAGGGGTTGTAAAACTAGTGTGATCATTGTGAAGTATGATGTAATCAACAATCTTCAAGGGAAGCCTACATGGAAAATGGGATATAACCATCCACAAAAAAAGAGCAATTGATTCAAGAGCACGAGTGTCTATCAAATTATGATATTGATTCGAGATCACATGTACTTCAAATGATGTAATTTCGTTATTTTAAAGAAACGCAGCACTTACAATTGAGAAATTGATCTTAATTTAAAGATATATGTCTTAAAAACAAACCGAAGTCACGGTCCTTAATTGAAGATAGTTGTTTTTGAACCAAGATTAACCTTTTTTGTGTGCGGAAAAATTAATTGAATATCCAGGAAAATTTAATAATTTCCAGTACATAAAAAATGATTCTATCGCAGGTCTCGATTCGATTGCCGAGTTGCCATCATATCTTTTTGTCTCCGCCGCAATTAAGCCAACTTTAGGTAGATCAGGTAAATTTTAGTATCGAGGAGCGGTGAACTATCCACTGACACTTTTTTATAACAGAAAAACTTGTCCGATGAAATTTCTTTAGTTATCCTTAGATATCCTTGGGTTTTATAGATGTCCTTGGTTTTGGTTGTAAGATATACCGAAAAATCTGTAGAATCAGCAACCCTGAGCCGTAACGGTTACAAAAACATAAATTGCCTTAGATCTCCTAGATGATGGGATTATCCCAAATCTTTGAAACCAAAAGCTGCTATGTGGATATACACTGCTATAATCAAAGCAATGGTGTCCTATTTAATTGTGGCTTGGGTCAACTGTCAATAGACTACAACAAAACTACAGCTAAGCTAGATACAGCAGGCTGTATTATGCCTTAGCATTACTTGTGCTAACGAACAATGGAAATGATGCCGAACTTACCCCGACTATTCATTTATCTAAAAGAAGTCGCACTGGCAACAATGGTAAGCTTCAAATCAGCCGAGGTCAAGGTATGGCTAAAAATCGCTTGTGGAACGCTGCAATTACAAATATGCCACTTCTAGGCTGATACAAACAACATTCCTGCAAAGTTTGTCGTTGGTCGACCCTATGATATTTCCACAGCTTCTGAACACCAGATCGAGGAAGGTGTCATTAACATATTCCTGGACGGATCTCAGAAAAATGCTCCGGAGTATACCTACTCCAGTAGCCTCCGCATTCATTGCAAGTGGTCTGTGGACAAACTTGCCAGCGTGACGCAAGTCGAACTAGCTGACATAAACTTAGCTGCAAAGGAAATTGCCCACCGAAATGTTACAGGTAAAAATATTATGATTTGCACAGACAGCAGACAAGCTTACAATGAGAACAGACTACCACTTGGCTCTTGCGAGTGCCCGCACCAGTAACAACATAACTGTTGCCTGGGTGGACAGTCATTCGCAACCCAGAGGTAATATCATAGCTGATTCACTGGCAAAAAGGGCTGCTGATACCAAATTCTAGGCCCAGAGCCCGTCCGCATTTTACCCCCGGAGCCCTGACAGCTATGCTAGTAGGGCACACCTACAAAGTCTTTAAGAACATGAGCGATGATACGTAGGGTTGCATATCAGCTGTCCTAGTTAGGAACTAGCAAAACAGTACCTACAACTTCGGTTTCCCACAGGCATTGTGAGTAGACCAAAGCCAGAAGACAGAATACGCACGGTACTCTCCATATTCAATAGCATACCGCGTTAACAGTGGCGTGCGATTTGTTTTGTAACGCTCTCCGTTTTGCGTTTATCTTCATATCTTAATACGTAACGTAAAGTTTCTGCAGAGACTGTTTGCTGACCTAAACACTTAGAATGTCACCTACAACGGATGGTGGTGATAATCCCACGTGTGCATGGGCTATAAAGAGTCTTCAGCCAATGCTTTGTCATTGTTTTTATCTGATAGATAGAAGATAGGTGCGTATAACCTATTCATAAGCCTCTCTTGCTCGTCCAATTGCATGTAATTTCCTCGTTCTACTAGTTGATATTCTAGTCCATACATCTATAGATCTAGCTAGCCACGCTTCTTTGGATGCTCAGTTTAAAGTCAACCTTAGCCGCGTTACTTGGCCGTCTACCACATTCCGTAAAGGCTCTTGCTTGTTCAATGTTTACTGCACCACTCTACCTATAGATCAGCCAAAAACGACTGTTCTGTTATGTATTATTTGGGAAAAAATTGATAATTTGCGATGCTTTTAGAATAAAAAAGTAACCATTATAACAATCTGAACCTGAACATATAAGGTCTCATTTTGAAGGTATTTATATGATCTACAACTTTCCTTTGAAGCAGTTTTACCAATATTTTATAGTTTTTTTAGTAAATGAAGTTTAACTTTTTTATGCGTTGACGGTTAAAAAAAATACAGAAAATTTTTTTGTTCCTCTAAACGAAGGACTTTCCCATTTACCCCAAAGAATATATTTTTCGTGCAATCCGTCTAACTTTTTTTTTTTAAATTCTTGACATCCTGGTCTACTAACATCAACATCGAGCGTCCCTATCTGAACACCCTTTAGTAGCTATATGAGAGACATCGTTTGGTGGGCTAGTTAGTACAGGGCAGTGTTGTTAATTGTGCATGGCGCATTTTGCCTTAAGAGAATAATCATGACTCATTCACACAAATAGATTGTACTTAGCTTTCAAGTGCAATAATATTGGATTTATGAAGGATTTTCTAATTTAAACCTTAGAACAATTTTTTTTGCATATTGAATAGACTTAAAGCTTTTACCGCTTTACGTAAAGTTTTACAAATATTCACAGTTTTCATCTCTCCAAAATCGCACAAAACTCATTCACTTCATAATGATTCTGTATAAGCTTAAAGCTTTACAAGGGATATGACGGTGATTTGAGGTTAGAAAAAAATTGGATTTCAATCTGACAATTCTCTTTTAATATTAAGCTAAATCGTGAAAATCTCTCGTGTAAAACTAATTAATTATATGGGTAACTTACAGGTAATCTACGCGGCAAATTACATGACTTAGTTCAAGATCTAAAGAGAATTGTCAGATTGAAATTCAATTTTTTCTTAAACTCCATTAACAGCGATTCCCCTGCGAAGACCGCCTTACAGCGTCAACCTATTTGAAGTTTTTTTTTACAATCATTGCGACCACTATACGATAGCGCTATTCGATATAATGCATGTGGATACACCTAAACAATCCTAGGAGAGCGATGGAACAGCAGATGGTTGTATTGGTATGCACTTATAGGTACCTTTTATGGGATTACTGTCTTTTATGCCAGGCAACTGCTCTTTTTGTGCAAGCATAAAACACTGTTGAGGACAGATAAGTGTATCCTTAAATGATGACAGGGGCGTGCAACGAGATTGGAAATTCGTGAAGACCTTAAGTATGAGAATTGGGATATTTTCTTTGCGTTTATTAAGTCATTTTTTACGGGATTATTTATACCTTCTCATTGTGAACAATTAGTCTAACATGTATACGTCTATCCGTGTGGAGGCAGACCAACCGAAAGCAAGGCTGATAATATTATGATCTACCCCTAAACGCGGTATGTTGTGCACTAAGAACCCTGATAACTGCCACGTACAAATAGTTCGTCAAAGCTCAATATATCTTCGTTCCAGGCCAGATCAGAGGCCTAGGACAGAAGGTGTCATTTTCAGTAGATGTTTGCTCTCCGTTTGTTTGTCTCTACACGAATAGACATATACTATAAACTATACTGATTGCTAAAAAGCTTTAAACAAAGTTCTGTGTCGTTGGGTACCGCGTGGCGGTGCTGTTTTTAGGATTGTTGTGCCCATAATTAATAACAATTTCCATTGAAAAGAGTTTCCGAATTTTAGGTCTATTCTACCGAAAATTGAGGTAGCATGTAACGCTATATCAATGAAATTCTTATGGTCAATAGCTGATAGGGTGAAGGAGTTTTTAAGGTGCTTATGAATGGGAAAACATATTTTTCTATTTTCAAAAATTTTTCATCGGATCCTATGCCTGGGAGAGATTAGGATTCCCCATACGGGTCTCTACCTCTGGGCTTCCGATGATCACTCCTTTCTTTGGACACCTTATATACAGGGTGACTTCGAAGTTGAGTCATTTATTTTAACAGTGAGTAGATCTGATCAAAAGAAATGTTTTTTTCCTTTACCATTTTTCTGGTAAAATTGAAGTAACAAAGTTATAGCCCTTTGGAAGTTGGAGTACCGCCCTTTCTCAATAATAATATTATGTGCTCTTGTTTGGCGACAACGGATATAATCCGCCGTATCGGTTCATCGCATCGGAAACAAAAAAGCGAAAGAATTTGGAACGATGTTTTTACAATTATTTTATTCATTTGTATACAGTCAGTGTCCGTGAATAGTGGTGTCTGTTGCGTGGCTCAAACGAAATAAAAAATGGCACATGTTTATGCGGATCGGTTTCCCAATCGAGTGCAACCAACCCCTCGTGCCTTTGTTAATGTAGTACAACGGGTTCGTGAATCAGGTGACGGCATGCCGGTGCTCCAAGACCTCACGATCAAATACAGGTCCGCACTGAAATACTTGTCGGGAGAATACTTTATAAAACAAGGTAAAATTTTTTTTATAATTTTTTTTTTATTTTTACACACATATTTTGGTTTATCTTCCTTCTACAATCATTATCTGAAAATTAATGACTCAACTTCAAAGTCACCCTGTATAGTGTATAGTGTCTATCATCGTTTTTATTGCCAGAGTTGCCACTTTTCGGACTGTTGCCGCAGGTTATGGGATTTTC